AATTATATGATTGATCCTGATGGCAAAGGAGGCGTGACTCCCTTCAGTGTGTACTGTGACATGAGCGACAGAGGCGGAGTTGGCGTGACTGTTATCAGTCACGACAGTGAAAGTAGAACCCATGTTGGTCCTAGCATTCCCGGATGTGGTGGCGCAGGATGTTACAGAAAAGATGTGCGATACACTGGAGTCAGCACCGCTCAGCTAGCAGCACTCACTCGAGTCTCACAGAACTGTGAACAGTTTATCAAGTTTGAATGCAACAACGAGGTAGCGTTTATTGAAGAAGGTTATACTTGGTGGGTGTCACGTGATGGAACACGGATGAACTACTGGGGAGGAGCTAACGGCCATTACCACATGTGCGCATGCGGAGTAACAAACTCTTGTACTGGTGGTACAAAGTGTAACTGTGATAACAGTGGTGCTGGTTGGTATGAGGACAGCGGTCTGTTGACAGACAAGTCTGCTCTTCCTGTGACACAAATCAGACTGGGAGACTTGGATGATTCAAAGGAAGAAGGATATCATACATTAGGAAAACTCAAGTGTTATGGTCAGGCATAATGCTAATGACTTGACATCGCAGCTGCTATACGGGCAAATTTAACCACAGAACTCAGCAAGTATGACAAGGACTCAGTCTGATTGAGTGGTTGACGATTCAAATCTTTTACTGCATGTTGCAGTATTTGAACAAAGAATATGCGATAAAATTGCTGGATATACCAAAATTTGAGTGCATGCTAGGCACCTTAGAATTGGCGGTAGATAAAACAAAATTGTTAAAAAATACATTCACACAAATATTATTTACACTACTGATATCTCTTTTGGTCTTTGAAGGACCAGTGTCATGGTGATGCACATTTAGACTTTTTTTACAGTTCACTGAAAGGTTTTGAAGCAATGGAAATTCTTCAGCTAATATAACTTTTGTCATTGCCCCTGGCCAGTTAGAAACCTCTAATGTACATTTCGATCAGTTCAGTGACCTTTGTACTCGTATTTCAAAAAAAAAAAAGTACAAAAAGACACCAACAGTTGCCATTTTGATGTGTACCAAACCAAGGCGCTTCGCGATCTCCAGCGAACAACCCTTTGTACGTTGGCGTTGCTTGTTTTCGCGTTTATCAGTTTCATTCTCACTTTCTTAAATACCTCATCAAGTTGGAACAAAGTAAATCATACTTGTGACGGCGTTTGGATAACTGACTTAATTAGCGTAGATTTTAAAGATTTTATTTGCTGTGTGCTTTAATTCTACTCATCTCTTTTTTCGTCTGAGAAGATATATCAAACTCTCAAGACAGTGTTTGCCCCATTTCCAGACACCTCAAAGGTCTTCGAAAATACTCCGCTGCGCATCGAATTTTCAACTCTGTTCTCAGTATTTGTGAATGTGGTAACACATGGTCCCTCTGGTTTGAAATATTACATCTTCCATAGCCTGTCCCAGATAATTCAGTCACATGGCGTTTTTTTTTCGTTTGTTTGTTTTTTCGCTGCGCCTCAACTAACTGAAAGCATTTATATTAAACAATAAGTGATAATTAATACTGCATTCCTTTCATCAGTGGGATGTAGAGAAAAATTGCTTATTCACACAATATTATGACTCTAAGCAAGTAGTGACGACTGTCACAAAGTTTGTAATTTTGTTGCCGAATTCTACCTACCTCAAGGGAATTCTCCGCGTTCTGCTGCTTCAGTGATCAAAAGGGCAGTACTTTTAGTTCTCTTTTGTAGCTTTAAAAACCCCGTAAATTGATTCTCAAGTCAGGGAGAAGAGATTGAGACAGTGGTGAAGTAAAAAGAAAAACAAATACGGTTAAATATAGTTTCTCAATCAGTCAGTTTGGAAAGTGCAAACCTTCTGTAGATGCGTCATAGTGCGATACTCAATCTTGTAAACTATCGACCGCGACTGCGTATATCCAATATTCTAGCTTAGTAAAAACATATCCACGGATTTTCCACCAGTCCCCTCAAGTGTATACGATTCCTGGAACGTATCAAGAGCAAGCAAAAAGAGAAAGGATAAAAGGAGGATTAAAATTAACTGGGATTTTTCTGCACTGATTGAAGGATACAATTGCAAGCAAGTTACCCTTTACATTTGAGAAGTCTATACGTCTATAGTTCTCACTGCCTTGCTGATCGTGGTCAGAGGTATCAAACATACACCCAGTCTCCAACACGGTTGTATTTTCGTCCTCATGTATGGTATATGTAAATGGCTTGATTCACATCCAGATCGAACTTCAAGCTCATCAACAAATGCTTCGATTCTTGACAAAACAGCGGTACTGCTTGCAGAA